TACACACGTTTTTGATGATTTTCATTTTATCTATTAACTATTAAAGCTCAGTGTCAAGACATTGTAAGCTACTGTTCGCTATACAAATTAGGTGATAAATATCTGTTAAACAAAGCTTTACGAACGCTTTTAATAGAGATCATGATTGGCAGCGCAACTTCAAGACAGCTTCCATGAAAGGAGCAAGTGCTTAGGCAGGTTATGGCAAATACCATGTTGAGTTGTGCGTCAAAAACTCTCCTAATACTAAAGCAAAATTTTGGCAATCTTGATTATTCCTTTAGAGCGGTCCCGCATCCGACCTTTGTAGCCCGCAATCATATCAGTACTCCTCTTCCTTCTTATCAAAAAGCGATGTTCTAAGACGCGTGAAAATCAGGCTTCAAACAAACGGAAATGCTGACTCATTCGCACTATTGTCAAATTTTGCATTCATTTCAACAACGCTGCTTAAATGAAATTCGTTCTCTATATTATATCCGCTTGGATCACTTCTACTGAAGCTTCAGTGGTAAATCTTTAGTAGGGCATAGCAAACCATATGTACCATATGTTCCCATTTAGGGTGATTTCGCATTCGCGCTTGACCTTACTTCTCCACTAGACCTGTTTGGTGCAAAGTGCATCAAAGAGAGTCTTTACCCCACAGTATTTCTTCGGTAAACTCCAAATAAAATTTTAGAGTTTTGCAAAAATAAATTAGGTTCCAGTGGATCTTCACCGTACGATCTACGGCAGACCGATATTTGCGAAAGCGTTCGAAATGCAAAGGATGGTATGACTATTGGAAATTTTCTTGTACTTTCACAGCACCCTATGCCTGAAAATCAATTTCATTTTCACAGGCATATGATAATATCTTTGACGGTTTTTGACAATCTTTCTCCTTTCATTTGCATTTTATACTCGTGGGAAAGAACTTATTGAATCTATACAAACGTCATTAAGAACACCATAGTCAAATGCCGGCAAGTCTACCAGTCTCGAGCACTAACCTCTTGATCTAAAAAAGCCCACACAAGCAAATCCATCTAAATTTCAAGACACTGACAGACTAAATGAATGCAAGTGTCATTGTGGGCAGATATCCTCCAAAAAATGATATTTTATTTCAGCTGGGCTTCAAGTGGAAGTTTTTATGACTCCCGATCCACTGCAAGAAGGATCGCAACAACTGGAAAACTTGTGCAGAACACTACAAAGGTGCGGTTTCAACGTTCGGAGCATCTGGTTGCAGGTAGCAATGACAAAGTTAGAATGCAAATGGTCTAACTTAGTTTTCTGATCATTTTGGTTAGATTACGTCACCAATTAATTGGCCAGATACTCCTAGAAAGAATGTTGAGTTTATCGACCGAGTGATTGCTAAAGCCAGTGTATGTTCCAACAACAAAAATGCAAAGCTTTCCCACAGAATGGGTCTGTTTAGGAATTTGGCATCGCACTTGGAATATACACAAATCATTATGATTGGAAGCAAATTACGGGTGGAAATATTAGCATGGACAAAGTTAGAATGCTTTGGTTAGATTTTCTAGAAATTGCGATTTTAGAAACTAAAAAAATGAGACTTTCTTTCAGGTATTGGAGCGTACCACAAGTGGGACCAGATGCTGAGGATCATCCGAATTTTGACAATTTCCGTCAATTTGGACCATGGAAGACTCCAGCCGCAAAGCA